CATAAGATCTAGTTAAGCTTGTTCATTCTATTTGAATTTTGAAAAGAAAAAAGGAGGGGTAATCAAGTACGAATACCATAAACCTTCCCTTTTGTTCAAATAAATTTTCTACCCCACAATTTTAATGGATGTAGTTTTTGCCAAGGTCTTAAGCTAGCCAAACACTAGATAATTGTGTCAAACACGAATTATTTATTTCCTCTTCTACCTTTTCTGTTTATTCTTTTAAGTTGAACTCATTTTTTTTAAGAGATCATTTTATATGTATTTAATAAAATTAATTTAGACTTAAATTAACTAATTAATTATTAAAATGTTTGATAAGATTAATTTATAAATTAATCAAAAATGTAAAATGATATAAAACTTAATTCAATTCAACCCAACTCGATCAGATTGGATTAGGTTATATTTAAAAAAATCTGCACAAATTCGACCCAATTCAACTTAGTATCAACAAATTTTTTTTGATGTACATGCACTTATTTAATGTTGCTTTAAATTTTTTGCTTTATTTTAAGTTATTAAAACGTCTTTAATGAGATATGTAAAGTTTTCTTCAAGTTATTGATCAAAGTTGTCAATCAATAATTTCTTAATAGAGGTTTGAATTTTGTTTTCTTGTATATGTGAAGTAATAAAATTAAATTTCTATAATTAGTTTTAAATAAAAATTAAATTAAATTAAAAAATATTTAAAAGATATAAATATTAACAATTTCATATCTTCTAATTGAGAATAAGTATTTTCACACTGAATAATACATTTTTATTATGAAAGTCAAATACACTCTATATATATATATAAATAATATATGCAATTAATATTCACTTGATTTTTTTTGGAATGATGTCTACCGTAAAATTTTGTTTTATTTTCATTATGAAATTAAATCAAATAGTAATATATTAATTAGATAGAATTTTGTGTGTAATAGAAGTACTATAAGGAAATAGTTTATGATAGGAAATATTTAAATAATACAAATAATTTTGGAATGATAAATAATTAATAATTATTAATAGTAATATTTATAATTATTAGTAATGCATAATCTAATGACTTTGTATTTGCAAAATTGATAATTAATTACGGGAAAATGTTATTACTAATAATTTTTTTTAAATATAATTAAAATAATTATTAATTAATTACTCTTATCCCTCCTCCTTTTAATTACTCAACAATTATTTTATTTTATTTTTACTATGAATTTTTATTTTTATTTTTATATTGTGAAATTATGATTTTTTTATATTTAAAAAAAAGAAAAATTAACATAAGACATTACAGTATCTAATTTTTTAGGATTTAGGATTTATGTCTTCATTAGCTTATTTTTAAAAAAAGAAAATATTGTTAAAATATTTGTTAGAATAATTTTCATTTATAAATATCGTTAAAAATTATCATATAATATATAACTAAAATAGTATACATATATATATACATATATATATATATATTCTCTATATCTAAATACTTTCGTTTATATAAAAAAAATTATATATCTAAATATTTTCTCAGTATCGAATATACTGATTTTTTTATATAAAAAATTATCTTATGTTTCTATATTTCCGTTTTTACATGTTTTTTTTATAATGACTGAGGTATTTGATCCATTTGAATAGCCAAGATATATTCGATCTTGTATGATTGGTGTGCTTCTAAAAATAATAATATAATTTTATTAATTTTGTCTCTTATCCATAATTATTTATATAACTAGTTTTCAACATATATTGTTTTAGTAATTCAAATGAGAGATTCACCAGGAAATAATAAAGAAAAAGGAAAAGAGAAATAAAACTATGAAACTTGGACCAAGGAGGATTCCGATGAATTGTTACAATTGATAGTGGATGCTATAAAAAGAGAATAAGATATTATGGAAAATTATTATTATTATTTATCTATACATTATTTTTTTTATATTATTTTTATCTTTGACTCTTTTTAAATTTGAATGTATGAATTTTTTTTTAAATCTTATCAAATGTCAAAACTCCACAAAATCTCACAGAATCCATTAAAATCCTGATTTAAAAGTCTTGCAGAATCCATTAAAATTCTGATTTTAAGTCTTGTAGAATCCTGCAAAATCTTAAAAGTCATAAAAATCATGCAAAGTCTTTTAAAATTCGCAGGATTTTTTTTAACTAAAAAAGTCATTTAAAATCCTAATCCAATACATCCCCCTTAGTGTCAACAAAAAATTTTCGATATACATGCACTTATTTAATGTTGCTTTAATTTTTTTGCTTTATTTTAAGTTATTAAAACATCTTTAATGAGATAAGTAAAGTCTTCTTCAAGTTATTGATCAAAGTTGTCAATCAATAATTTCTTAAGAGGTTTGAATTTTGTTTTCTTGTATATGTGAAGTAATAAAATTAAATTTCTATAATTAGTTTTAAATAAAAATAAAATAAAATAAATTTTTTTTAAAAGATATAAATATTAACAATTTCATATCTTCTAATTGAGAATAAATATTTTCACACTGAATAATACATTTTTATTATGAAAGTCAAATACACTCTATATATAAATAATATATGCAGTTAATATTCACTTGATTTTTTTTGGAATGACGTCTAACGTAAAATTTTGTTTTATTTTCATTATGAAATTAAATCAAATAGTAATATATTAATTAAATAGAATTTTGTGTGTAATAGAAGTACTATAAGGCAATATAGTTTATGATAGGAAATATTTAAATAATAAAAATAATTTTGGAATGATAAATAATTAATAATTATTAATAGTAATATTTATAATTATTAGTAATGCATAATCTAATGACTTTGTATTTACAAAATTGATAATTAATTACGGGCAAATGTTATTACTAATAATTTTTTTTAATATAATTAAAATAATTATTAATGTACTCATTTCTCATTTTTAATTATTAATTATCATATTCATAATAAAATAAGTAAAATTTATATTCCTAATAAACCTGACGTTATAAAAAAACAAGTAAAATTTATACTGTTGTGGAAATATAAAATTATTAGTAATTATTAATATATTTTAATTTAATTATTTTCATTATTTTGATATATATTGATTTTTTTCTTTCATTTTGATATCTTTTATACATTTTTTTAATTTATATTTAGTAAAAATTTATTTTATACTATTGTAGAAATATAATAATTATTACTAATTATTAAAATATTTTAATCTAATTTTTTCATTTATTTTTGATATTTTTTTCACATAATATATTTTGTATTAATTTATTTTATTTTGATAATTAACATTTTTATATAAAAACGTTTTGAGAGAATTTTGGAAAAAAGAAAGTTGAGGCTTTTGAAAGAAAAATAATTGTCTTAAAATTTCTAGATAAGTTTGCATATCAAACAATTTTATACTTAAAAGTCTCTCCAATAACTTGACAAATTTGCTTTTTGTATAATACTTATAAGTTTCTTCCATACTTTGACAAATATGCATTTTTGTTTACGTAGATTAAAATTATATAAGTAGAAAAATTCTATTTTCAAATATTGGAATTTTTAAAAGTAAAATAATTTGTTTATAAAATTAGTTATAAACGCCAAATTTGTTTTATAAACCCCAACTTTGGTTTTTTCAGGAATGAAATTAGGCATTGATTGAAAAGATGGATCTTGAGATGCATTGAAAGGTGGAACATCCTCATGATACATGAACAAAATAAACAAACATCGCATTCTTATGACAAAACACAGAGCACAGAAAATCACAAACGATTCACACCCATAATTAACCTCATACTAATTAGTTTGCTTCCTTTATAATGCATACATTCATGGCAGTTGGCTTTATCCATGAAAATGACAACCCAAATGGATCCCAGCTAAGTTTCACAAGATTCACTTCCCTTCGCAATTAATTCGCATATACAGGAGTAACAGGACAACCCTTTTCATTGTATTTCCTTAACTTGAGATCCGCTGATTTTTGGACAAAATGTCAAATTACAGTCACATCTTTTATATTTAATAAAAAGATTAAATATTTCTTTTTGATAAATAAGATGTTATTTGAAGTCTTTAAAAGATAAATTATCTTTTTAGTTCTTCATTTGTGAAAATGTGTTACAAGTAATTCCTTATTTATTTAAATAAAGAACTTAAAAAGACATTTTATTTATGAAAACGAGGATAATATATTTGATATTTCTTCATATATAATAAGAAAAAAAAATATTTTCAAAGAATTAAAAACTTATATTATTCTATTTATATTAACAAAAAATATATGATATTATTTTTTTTATTATGTTAATAAATCAATCTAAATAATGCATTATCTTGACGTAGAATGTCTTAGCCCAGATTGTACATGTTGACTAAAGTCAACACTTGAATACATGAACCTTGATTTGAAACAAAATTGCCTTGTTACTACACTGAGATAGAGAGTATTATTGTTCTTGAGATGCCTTGAGACCTTATAGGAGTTAGCCCAACTCCTGTAAATACAACTGATATTATTTTACCATATAAGCATTTAATTTCATAATTACTTTCATAGAATTCTCATTAACTTAAGTAGGATATCCACCTTAGGCTTAATAAACTTACTGTCCATTTGGAACATGTTGTTAGTCTAAATAGGACACATTATTATTATTATTCATTTCAAACAAATCAAATACTATAATATAACTAATTTATTATTTTATAAATTAAGAAAAAATTGTAAGATTAAAAATGAAGGCATGGAAAGTGAAATTTGAATGAAGTTTAAAGATGCAGATAAAAGGAAAAGGGACCCTCAAAAGAAAGCCAAAAATGGGGAAGGCATCTAGCCGCCAAACACCGCGTCACGTGATTTATCGTAGCAGCGCCAGCGATGCTACTGATGCTATTATTTAATTTATGTAAAAAAAAATAAAAATAGAAAGTTATAGCCACTATTGAGTTGAGGCGTGAATATATAGAAGCACTTCAAGTTGAGGTTCCAAACATATCTTTTAGCTGAATGAGTGATTGATAAAAAACTGTATATACATTTATCTCAGTTGTTCTTTTGGCTCTCTGCCAAAACACAACAACTGCATCCTCAATGACTCATTAACACGCATTTCCCTCCTCATTCGTGGTTCCGTTACTTTTGTTTTGTTTTGTTTTGAGTTTCCGAGGTCACACTAACATGGCCTGCACCGAAAACAGACAACCGAAGGTTTCTGCTTTCCTCTGTTTCACTTTCACATTCATCTGTGCGACTGTTTTGTTTAGTTGCGACCGGGTGTGGGGGCAGACATCAGCGCCTGTTTTTGCCTGCGATGTTGCCAAGAACCCTGCCTTGGCCGGTTACGGATTCTGCGACAAGTCACTGTCGGTGGAGGAGAGGGTGGCTGACTTGGTGAAGAGGTTGACATTGCAAGAGAAGATAGGGAATCTCGTGAATTCCGCGGTGAATGTGAGTAGGCTCGGGATTCCCAAGTATCAGTGGTGGTCTGAGGCACTTCATGGGGTCTCCAACGTTGGACCTGGGACAAGGTTTTCCAGTGTTGTTCCTGCTGCCACCAGCTTCCCCATGCCCATTCTCACCGCGGCTTCTTTCAACTCTTCATTGTTTCAGGCCATTGGAAGAGTGAGTCACCCTTTTTTCTTTTTTCTCTCTGTCATGTCTTAAAGTTAAAGCCTTTTTCTTTCTTGGCTTGGATTGCGATGGTTCACACAATTCACATTCACAAGGGGTTCCTCAAAAAATGGGAAAGACTGGTTTTTTTCCCCTTTTTACTGCATAACGACATCAAAAGTCGTTAATTTTAGTCTCTCGAGTTGGTGTTTTTTTTATTTTTTTCCCCTTAATTTTTCATGGAGTTTGGTCAGGTTTTCAATGTGAAACTCCAGTTTATGGGAAACGTTCATTACTTTCGTGGTGCTGTACAGTGTACATTGTTGATTTAACGAGTATTAGTTGTTGTTGAATTTGTAGGTTTGAATAAGCAGTTACTTACAGGTGTTTTTAGCAGTGAGGTTGAATGTATTCTTTATTGATTAGGAGAAGTAGATGGGTGGGGTTAGTTACATAGAGGACTTTTTTTCACTCCTCTGCCTTTTTGTACAAATTTCTGATTAAGTAATGCAACAATAAATGAAACTAAAAATTAGGTGACTTGTCAGGTGTGAACCTGCAGAGTTTGGACGTAGATAATTATGAGTCCCCTAGCCCCCCCCCCCCCCCGCCCT